GGGGCGTTTGGTGTGCAGAGCCTCTGCCCTTGGGGATGGGTTCAGGGATTAGGAGCCGGAAGAGCCAAGGGTCAGCGATGGCTGAAACATCGTCACAATTGCTGCACATGCTTGCAGTTTAAACTTCAGCAGCCTAATAGTTTAATCTAAATATAGGCAAACATTTTAAATTAGACTCTTCAGTATCACAAAGATGATGATGAAGTTTTAGAGAAGACACAGAATTTTCTAGGAAATCCTCTTTTCCTACTCAAAGCATTCTTTACATTAACTTGTTGGTTTTGTGGAAATAGCCACATTTAGTTATTAGGGGAAGTGTATATTTTAGAGGGATAGGAAATCACATCAAAGGATTTTCCATGCTTTCAGCGATGGGAGGTGTAGCCACCCAGTGTGTTAAGTTTTGCAAAAGGAACTGTGGAGCTGGCTTTGCCCTCCCCTACCTCTCCAAGCAGAGCCCAGGGACTGGAGCAATGGGAAATGGCACCACTCTGCAGCTGCTCTTATTGGCGGCCTCATGGTTCACCTCATCTCCTCAGCACAATGTCTACACTGTGGGATTTGACAGTTGCAACATCAAATCTGTCTCAAAGGCTCTTTCTCACTTGCAGGGAGTTTCACTGGACCTCCCTTAGTTTGGTGTAAGATATAAACACAACTTTAATTATTAGTCTTCTTGAGAATACAAGGGAGATTGTCTTTTGCACCATGACTCTTTCCACTCAGCTAATAATGAATAATCCAGCTCTTTAAGGCTGACTCCCCAAATAAGCACCCAAACCCAAGAGCATGAGTAAAATAACTATATGCCTCATACAACAAACATTACCTGGGCATGCTGCTCCTATTTTGCTTCTTATGCAATATTTTACACTCATCTGCAGCCTGAGTAAACTTTCTCTGGTATCTTTTTTGACTCACAAGAACATCAGCCTAATCCACTGTAGACAACCAAGGATTCTATGTAGATGTTCTTGTGAAAGAGGCACCATTAGGGTTGCTTAGCACCAGAAATTGGTTTACTCAAAGCACCTTCCTATGAGGAAAGCACTGCATGTTTTCTTCCACAGATTCACATCTTTTGGTTGATGGACTTGCTGGATTACTCAAAAGATTTTCTTTTTGTTTGTGTTTGGAGGGACCTGGAGGGCAAATGGCTGCGAAAGGCTCGATATTAGAAAGTGGATCAGTCGCCTTGAAAGAACCATGGGGATCATGTCCTGTTTGTCCAGAAACCTCTAATTAGCAAGTCTGAGGACTCAAGCGGCTGTGCGTCCTTTGCTCTGCTGTCAGGTTTCATTACGGCTAGAAGTGTCATGCTGGGACCTGAGACAAGACAGTTACCAAACGCATTTGGTTAAGCTGTCTAGACTAAGTTATCGTTATGGGGCCAGCAAGGTAAGAAAAATAGCATAGCTACCCATGTTGGAGGTAGGAGGGGGAATCACTGACATTTATTGAATGATTATATGTGCTAGCCACTGTTTTAAGAGTTTTTGTACACAAAAATAAATACTATTAGTTTATCAATGTCTTTAAAGATGATAAACTGAGACTTTGAGAGGTTAAGTTCATGAATATTGTACATGGGAGGGATGGGATTTGAATCCTGGCACCCAACAGTCTACCCACTGCATTACCTAGGCCCTCGGTCATAGATGACTATGAATCTGGGGGGAATTGGGGCCCCGAGTTTTCAGACCTTTCCATTTTTCAAGAAGGCCAGTTCAAATGAAATATTTCTGAATTTTTAAATTGTTGGCAATATTTTTTGTGGTATTGGCTAAATGTGATCTGGGATGACTTCCTTCCAACCCAAAGGCATGAAGTCATTGCTCAACCTGCCACTCTGTGTACACGGGGTAAACCTGGACCAAGGAAGCAGAAATGTTAGCAGTGAGCCACACCAGTTCTATTGCAGGGAATGCCCTCTGAGGAAGCTTTGAAATGTTGGGTCATCAGGGGGAGTCTGACAGCCTAGGCTTTGCTTGTTTCACCAGAAACACTAGGGAAACTGTGGATTTCAGATTTGCAGGGCAGTAGAGTCTAGATGCGTGTGTTTGGGCCAGAGTGCTATAATCCTGTGATTCGAAAAGATCAGCAGGTTACAAGCCAGCTGAGTCACTGACCTTTCCAGGCCTCAGGAGACTGGGGAAGCTCTGTGGTCCTGAGATCCCTCAGGTGGTCATCTCTGGCCATAAGCAGCTCTTCCTTTCAGTTTACTTTGTGTTGCAGATATTATAATTATTTTAAATTGTGCTATGAAGTTAAAACAGTTGGAAAGCACTACTGTGGTCTGGTTCTTATGTAATATGGATTGCCCTGGTTTACTTTATTTTCTTCTTGATGAACGGGATCTATGTCTTTATATGAACCCTTTAATGGAACTTTTCTCTTCTACTCACCTGAATAGTAAGAAATTCTCCCCATGGTTTTTCCTCTTTCCTTTATTCATGAACCTTTCCAGCTAAAAATGAATCTTTTCATTAAAAATGAATCACTATATTGCATTTTTTTTCATTCATTCCTGTTCTCTTCCTGACTTCCAATCTCACATAGCAATTTTGTGCTATTTGGTATCAGTTCATTCAATAATGATTTGTTATTTGTTTGGAAATGTCCCCAGGGAGAGTTCATGGAGTTTACTGGGACAATCAACTTGTTTTGGTCTGCCTGGGACTGAAAGCCCAGGGACCCCCTCAGTCATGAGCTGACTGGGATGGTTGGTGCCCCTTGAGCCAGCTAACAGAGTTGTTGTCCCAGACAGAATAAAAGACCCTTCTTCATATGGGCAGGTACGTATGGAGAGGACTGGGAGAGGGCTTCATACAAAATAACCTTAATTTTTTACTGGATAGATGTAGGTCATTTGCTGAGAGGAAGGTGAGTGATGGTAGGAGAATCGTCACTCAGTGAGCCCCTAGTTCCCATCACACCACGTTCTTCTACGTGGCTCGACAGCAGCTAATGTTAGGTGCATTTATGCTTTGTATGGAAGTAATCTGTCACCTCTTGGAGAATGCAAATTAATACAAATAACTAAAAAAGTGAAATGATTATATATTTGTTTTTTGAAAATTACAAGGCAAATCCAAAAGATGTAATCTAATAAGATGAGGCACCTTTTAGATCACTAGAGGCAGCTGTTCCTGTAACTGCCACTCTTTAATAACCACTTGCTTTCAACTGGCTACTGTGCTCTGCTCCTGGCTCCCATATCCTAAATAATGCATTTTACCTAAATAATAGTTACTCGGAAGTGGGGGAAGTATGGCTATTATGGAGGGATGGTAGAACCTAATCTGAATGGCAGCCCTCAGTGACCCACTGGAGAGCAGATATCACCAGGCTGTGAGAGGAGCTGAGGTCAGGGTGAGTGATACCCAGTGCATCAGCCTGCATGATTGCTTAACTGTCTGCCCCCTGTGCCTCCATCTGCCAAGGGAAGGGGTGGACTATGCGAGCCTCTAAGGCCACATGCATTCTAGAATTCTAGCATTTTTTGAGGGGTCGTAAGGGAGAGAGAAGCAGTTTCAAGCACATATAGACACATAAACGTTAGAAGTCTTTGGTGTGTGAAGCCAAGGAAACAGGCCAGGGGTCTCTGCAAAAACTCAGGATTATGACGAGGATGGGCCAAGCCCTAGGCCACTGAGAACCAGGCACCATCCTGACAGTTTGGGATGAAAGAAGTCTCATTCCCCACATCAGAAGCAAACTTCTCATTGTATATTTCACAATCTGGAAACTAGTTTCACACAGAACAACAGCTTACAGAATGAGAAGTATTTGAACACAATAGTGTTTCATTTGATCCTCACACAATCTTGGGAGGCAGACAGCAGAGTTTCTACTCTCCCTATTTTATAGATGAGGAAACTGAGTTTCCAAGTAGTTGGGGTCACAGAGCCAAGTCTTGGACTCTGTTCTCATGAATCTCTGTCTGTAACCTCTACAGAGAACAGGGGTTAGTGGGGTCGTACCCACTGAGCAGCCGTTTCAGAAGGGGGAATCCCTAGACATGGAGTGTTAGAGACCCATGGACTAAGACCAGAAACTTATATGCTATTTTATGCTGAAGCTTCTCTGTTAAGCAATACCTCACTACTTCAGAGCTGATGCTACCTAAAGAATGAGTGGCTCAGGAGGGCTGTTATCAAGTGCACATCCCATGTCCTCTGCCCAAGTGTGAGGCTGGGGAGGGGACGGGTGCCAGCCTGGCTGCTTCATGGGAGGTGGGCCTACACCTGGGGCAGTTAGAGCCTGCACCCTCTGGTCACCTCCCGGGTGCTCATCCCAGCTATTGGCTCAAATCTGAACATCCAGTCCAGGGAACATTGCCTCTTTGGTGCATGTCATAATCACGATATTATGCCTCTCAGATTCTGGAGAGTGCGGGAGCAGTGATGGCAGTGGCAGCATCCCTCTGTCCATTTATGGCTAGCCCCACCTAGTTATTAAGTGCACAGCATGTGCCCTGTGCAAAGCTGGATCCTGGGCATTTAGTGCTGAGCACAGAACATAGTGTCAAGGAAGGCTTCTGTTTCAGTAGAGCAGCCCAGAGAACTCCACCTGCTTTGGTTTCAGGTGTGTTACTTACTGCCAGGAGCCTGTAGGTGTTTAGGGGCTTCATTAAGTATGGGAAGCTCTGGTTCTTTTCTGCTCCTTTGGAGCCTGGCCCTTGATTGGCCTTGAATGAGGAGCAGGGCCTTCAAAGTGCCACTGTGGGCACTCTCCAGAGGAGTACTACACATGGGGAGGGGCCAGGGCACAAGGTCTTCTGCAGGCTGTGGCATCCCAGCTCCAGCCACAGTGGTCACGTCACGGGAGGAAGCTGAGCTGTGAGCATGTTGCTAGGCTGTGGCTATTTATTTTTATAAACCAGTCTTGAGCTTAATTTAGAAGTATGCTTTTGCTTTTGCTTTTGCTTTCTCTTTTCCAGCATCATCTGGCTGTCTGGCACCATCAAAGAACTGTGACCCAACAAGAGCTTGTGGTGGATGGGGGTGGGAAGGAGGCTAGCGGGAGGGCTGATGCCAGCCCAGCTGCCTCACGAGGAGGTGGAAACACAAGGCCATGCCATTAGTATCCTGTTCGGCTTCTGGACAAGTTTCACTTGCGACACCTACATAGTCTTCACTTGGAACAGGATAAGAAGCAGCTGTGGTACTAGGTCCTCCTCTGATGGACCACACATTGGAATACAGCAGAACGGGAGGCCATGAAAAAGAGGACCAAAGTCAGTGCCAGAAGCAGGTGACATCCAGACTCTCAATTCCTTGGATGCAGCTATTTTAATAGAGCCACTTTATGGCAGCTATTTTGACATAAGGTTGTTTTGATTTGGCTTAAAAATTAAGCCAAAATGTTCAGCTTTTTAAAAATAAGTGATGAGTAAAATGGGCATTTTATACTCCATCTGTGACATTTACCACCCCGATCTTCACCCTGCTGCTGACCCTGCCTCTGAGCATGAAGGCGTATGGATCAGGGAAAGGTAAGGGGAAGAGGTGGTAGGGAGTCAAATAGGAGAATGGCTGTGGATCAGATAACAACCAAGAGTGGAGTAGAAGTTGGAGCTCAGGTACCCACAAGACATGGCAGCAGGCCGGGGGCAGAGGAGGATGAAGAGGTCTCCAAAGTCAATGAAAGGACCAAACTGAGATGGAACAAGAGCCAGAGATGGAGTGAGGGGTGGGAAATGGGTATAAACATAAAATACAGTGAATTTTCATGTTATTTTACCTGTTCTGAGGTTGTTAAAATAGCTACATGAAATTGGTGGGCAAAAAAGGGTTCCCTTAGGATTCAGAACAGCTCATTTTGGCTCCTGCATAAACAGTGTCTGACTCACAGGTGTCTATACATTTCACTTAGGGCTTGTTTAAGCCTCAGTTTTCCCATGTGAAATGCAGATGATTATGTCCACCCTTCTGCTTTCCCCATCTTTGCTCTCCCTCCAGGAGACATGAGGTGGAATGAGCCAGCAGCTCATGAACTGCTTCAAGCTGCTCGGTGAAAGGCGTTGGCATAAACAGGAGGTATTCGTATACATGAGTGCTCTGTGAGTCAAGGACTTCAGAGTCAGGCAGGTGCAGCCGTCTCTGCCTGGTGATTCATGTGGACACAATAATGCCTTTAGCTGGAATGCATGGCACTTGTGATGAATTCATTCTTGCCATGGCAGAGAACATCATCTTTACCCAAAATGCTATCCACCTGAAGAGTTTGTACATGGGCATTAGGAGATTAGATGTGGAAAGAGCTAAAAGGAATCTGGCATTGCCGCCTGCCACCTAGTTTTAGTACGAAGCACTATGGCAGCATGTTTCGCCCAATTATGACTTCCCTTTGCCAGAGAAGAAATTCTTTCAAATTTTCCTGCCATTGGTCAAACTTGCCAAAATGCCCCAGTAATGAAGGTGGGAAGGAGAAAGTACTCTCTCTGCCCGGTTTCACCACTTTCTGTGTTGGTCTTTTGTGCCATGAGATGAAGGCTTGCAGGTTTGGCCATGGAGTGTCATTCCAGAACCGGGCCCAGGGGGCAGCAGGGGCTGGGCCTCCCCTTCCAGGAGCCTGAGCTGGGGCCACCAGGCAGGGCGGGGGCTTCTGCTCCCAGAGTGGGGCGGAGGACATGTGACCCAGCCACACTCCCGGGCGCTTGCCACCGCAGATCCCTCTTCTGGGAGCCAATGCACCGCCTCCTTTGGTACAGTTAATCTTTGTTCCTGCCACCGACTCGTTTTTCTTTGTTATTTCTCACCATGTCCCTGCCTGATTTCGTACAGATTCCTTTCTCAGGCATCGTGTTTTGATTCCCTCCTCACATTTACTTCCAAGTGCCAAGAATAACTCTGTTCCGGCAGGAGGATATTATTTGGATTAAATGAGAGAATGAGCAGTGGCTTCTCTCCGCTGGCATTCTTCGGATTTACATGGGAATTTATTCTGGAAACTCTTTAGTCTCCTTCAAGTGACACCACCCCTCCCACCCGCACCATGTTTCTGTCACAGAGCGTGGCTTTCCTTGTTCTTACCTGGAAGACAGTAAGAACTTTTCTTTAGGAGCCTGGGGACCCCCTCCCTACACCATTACTCCTCAAGGACCTTGGCTGGGCCCACACTGAATATTACAATGAGTATTACTGCCATTGCTACAGACCTGAACATCATCTCCAGTATTTGGGTCTGTGATGAGCCTGGAGTCCTCTTCCAGAGCCGTCTGTCTTTCTAACCCTTGGGCATCAAGGTCCCCCTTTAGGACAGCCCTCCCTGAGTGCCTGACCAGCATCCCTGGGTTTAGCTGGGGGTAGGGGTCTAACTGACATGCGCTTCTATGTTGACATCACAGGGGCCTAATAACACATGCCAAGTACAGTAGCTGGAGTTCTTAGCGGTCCCTGTTCATGTTTTGGGGAAGTTGTGTTGCCCTGTGCACCACTTTGTATAGTGATTCAGGAATTTCTTGTTTGATGCAGAGCTAAATGAAGAGAGAGGAGGGGCCGGGCATCATCCAGGCAGCGTGCAGGCCTGCTCAGCCCAGCCCCAGAGAACATTCTGTGTGCCCCTGGAAATGGCCTGGTACTGGACTTGGTCTGCCTGGTCCTCTGGCAAACAATGGCCTAGTGACCTCTAGACCAGAGGACATTCTGCCTTCCCCAAACAGATTGCTATGCTTGGGGTGAGAGGAAGGGAGGCTTTGAGAAGGCAGCCAGCAAGACCCCTGCCTCAGGTTCTGAAACCAAGGAAATGGCCCAAGGCCAAGCACTGAGCATCCCTTACCCTTGAAGGTGCTTCCAGCTACATGGATTGGCTCCTTTGGGTCTCACCACAACTCCTGAAGATAAACAGGGCAGTGTGATTACTTCAAGTTTACCAATGGGGAAAGTAAGTGCCAGAAAGTTTAGTTAACTTGCTCAGAGTCAACTAAGTAAATTGCTGGTGGACTTGAGACAAGAAACCTCAAATTCCTGACATTTGCTTCATTTTTCCCATTACTCCACTGTTCTACAGCAGGGCTTAAGCAAAACAGCAGACACAAGTCCTACCTTTTCCACTTGGGCAGGAATTGGAAGCTGGCATGGATTTGCACTGAAGTGGCTAGGGCCTGGGAATCTGTAAGCTCTGGTTCTACTTGCTTGTATGGCAGGGCAAGGCTGAGATCATTTTGGGGTTCACCGTTTAGAAGGTTGTAGTACACGCACATGCACGTGCGCACACACACACACGCACGCACGCACGCATACACGCACGCACGCCCAGGCACACAGGAAAGGAGGAGCCACTATTGCCACTTGTCCCGATGGCTGCTGAGGATGATGGAGCAGACCCCTTGGAGGCCTTCTGCAGCTCCAGACATGCTGCGGCTTCTTCCTTTAAGCTCCTGCGTCTATTCCCAAGGGCTTTCCTGGGCCATGGGGATATGCTGAGCACCTGCATGGGGCATCCCAGAAGAGCCCTGGAGTTAATGGTACCTTAACCAATGAAGGGTAGAGCTGGGAAAAAATGTCTCAGGTTCCTTGCTCATTGATTGATTGAGGTATGTTCTATTGAGTCTTTGAGGTGGACCCCAGTGAGTGAACCCCAGCATTCTCACCAGCGGCCTTCTTGTTAATGTCCACTTTATTGGCTCTCCTCTCCTCTGTCTTGCTTTCCTAGCCCCTCACCATGTTTCCTAGGATCATCTCCCCAATATACTGTGTGCAAGCAGATTCCTGTTTCAGGAATCAAAACTAAGAGAGTAGCCTAACTCCTTGGTCCCAGGAGCACCTTTTATGTGGGGAGCAGGAAGTTGTGTTGAAATGTCAAGTAGCATTTCTTGGTTGGGCACTGCTGCTTACCAGCCATTGGACAGGAAGACTGTGGCTCTGGTAGTAATAATACAGAGTTCTTCAGGCTAGATGAATCTCTTTTCCTATATATCCCAGGGGGGCCCTGCATCAGGGCTGCATGGGTAAGAAACAGAGAACTGAGCTCAGTGTCTTAAAAAACAATCCCAAGTTGAAGTAAGCCTGGAGTTCTCTTGCTTTATTTTGTCTTGCCTACCACATGTCCTGGGCAGCTGCTGCCTAGGCTTCTCTTCACTACCTTTCAGGCCCGGTGAACAGCACTGTACATGCTCACTCTGTGGACATGCCTGGCTTGACGGGCTCTGTGAGCACCTCTGAATGTAGCAGCAGGAGAACCTCTGGAGAACAGGAGGGTAGAGTCAGAACTCCCTGGGGTGGGAGCAGGTTCCTGGGTGCCACTTTCCCATCAATTCTCCTGGGTTCCAGCACATAGCAGATTGGACTTGCAACCAAGCAGACACATGAAAGTAAACGTGTGACTCTAACATTTCATAACCTGCCTCCCACAAAACAGAAGGCACTCTTCCCCTTGCGTTATTCCCTGCCTTGTTCTTGACATTTTTAATGTGCTGAGTCTACAGCCAATTTTGCACTCCCGACACCTCCCACTTGCATTGGCTCCTGGCCTGAGGACTACAGGCCTGAGGATGCCAGTCACGTGTAACAGTCCAGAGAACTCTCTCAGCTCCCCTTGTGGCCAGGCCACACTCCTCTTCACCTTGACATTTAGGGCCTGCTGTTTCTTTTCTTCTGCTCTAATAAATCAGGGTCAGTCAAGATTCACTCTCCCCTGAGCAGGGTTTGGGGAAACTGATGCTGAGATAAGGAAGCTTCTCTGCTTATACTGAGTAAAAAGCAAGCATTGCCTTTCTTCTTCTGTTCCCTGTATTTGCAAAATGCCAGACCCTAAGCAGAAAGACGAGGCTCTATTTCCAGGCCTTTATCTGACCTGCACAAAGCTGAGTGTATCTTTGGGGTTCTGCTTAAACCAGATAAAGCAATACTGTCCCTTTCCTGAGCCCTTCCTTGTTTATAGCCCAGGCTGAGCTGCTGGTTCAGCTCTTTCACCTGAGAGGGTACGCTATGTAATGAAGTCATCAACAACCTGAGGAGCACAGAGACGGGCCAGTGCTGTCCCTCTGCTCCCACTCTGTCACATTCAGGACTTTGGGTGTTATCCAGCCTAGGAGCAAAGTGAAGCAAACCTTCTTAGTGCTAAGTGTCAGATGCTAAGCAATACCTAAGGGTACATATGTATGGGATGATAAAGTCATCAGAAATATGTAACAATAGCAAATAAGAGAGAGAAAGAAAGGCAAGGAGGAAAATGAATCTACAAAGTGGTAGTATTACAGAGGAGTAGCTGAGTGCCACCT